GTGATGGTTCATCCACTTTTCTATACCTTCTAGGACATCAAAAAATGTCAAATCTCTCCTTATGCTATGGACTGTGCAATCTAATGTTTCCTTTCTGAAGATGGAATGAAAAAAAACATTTTTGCAATCTGGGGTAAAAAAAATAATCTTCTTTTACAAGCATCTTGTTTTCTTCCCTCAGCTTACCAAACTTCCCTAAAAGCTATCTTAGTCCATTATGTCAGTCAGTTTACCCCCAAAAGACAGCTCCTGACACAGAAACGCCTTTTAAAGCAAGCTTTATAAAAACACACGAGGCCATTTTCAAAATTAACTTTCACTTGTTGGGGCAATTTACAAGTGTTGCTTTAAAACCTTATGAACAGGTGCAACAATGCAAAAATGTAAAGGGTGCCTGTAGCAGGGGTACATGTTTCCTTCATATTTTGTATTCCATGGAGATTAGGTTCTGTTCCCTGTTTGAGTTAAGCATCAGAAGGGAGCGAACTGTTGTCTGAGGGCTGTTTATCTGCCTTCTCAGTCTTCTGCAACAAGATCCTAGAAGAACTCATCTCCCAGGATACCACTCCTCCCTGCAGCTCACCTGGACTTTGAAGAGAAAGTAGGGCTACTTCCACGAAGATTTAATTTACAAGAACAAAAAGATTTGACACTGTTTCCCTTTTGAGAACAGTTTCATTAACTGTTGTTTCCCCCACCACTATAAACCAACATTAGGCTTAGTTGCATAGTACCTTCTACTCCCTATCAACTGCCACCTAACTTTCCCTTTCCCTTTCTTATTCTTTAAAAATAAATACCTTATTAAGCTTTTTAGTTTCAATTTCACTGACAACTTGTATTGCAACATAGCACCCTTTCAGACTCATGTTTATAAGCACACCTCTCAAATGCTGATAGGGTTCCTCTGGAACGTTCTGCGCAACGATGCACAAAGCACTTAAAATCCTTTACTTGTAGGACACCGAGATTTTTTTTGTGTGTGACTAGATTCAGTGAGGATTTCTATACAACTGGTTTCCTTTTATAGATTTGGGAAGAAGAGCTACACAGAATCATAACATTAATTTTAGCTTTAGTTAAGATCTGTTTAATGTGAAGTGCCCACTTTACGCTGGCAGACAAATTACCAATGGGGCAACTAGAGAATGCATGAATGATAATGTACAGACAAGCTTTTTATTATTTATTCATAGAAAACAGTGGGTTTTGGTGTGCTGCTTTGAAAAATGTTCAAACTAGTAGAATATAATGAAAGCACAGTGAAAATTCTATTTCATTAACATTTAATCATAAATCGCTCTTTAATATAAAACATAAAATAAAAGTCTGTCATAAGCACTTAGGTGTAGGGAATGGAGAAAGTCTGCAAAAAGGGGAAAGGAAACATTGCAGTGGGTTTCACTGTTCCTGTTATCTGTCACTTCAGAAGAAAAAAAAATAAGCAAAGAAACAACAGTCTCCAGCTAAATCTCACAACTGGTCATGAAGAAACTGCTTAGATATTTCTCAAAACCTTACATTTTGCTGGCTAAAAGTATTACCAACATCTATAGACAGGGAAACAATGATTTTAGCAAAATCACAACAGCTCAAGAGCAGCAGGGTTTACCAGGACTCTGCTACCCAGATAAAAAATAATCACAACTTCAAGCTGCCAGAGCAAATTCAAAAATCTTTTCCATGAAATATCTATTACCATGTTTATCGTATAACAAGTATTCTCAAATTCCCCTTAGAGGTATACAAGAGCGATGCACAAATAACAAGCTCTTATTCGCTAAAGATCTTCAAGGCTTACAGAAAATTAGATCTTCATAAAATACTATAGATTATGTCTCTTTTTGAGACCTCTTGTCAGAGAGGTCTTATTTGTTACTCTGTAAATACAAATGCAATATTATCCTATCAATACTGATTTGAGTAACATACTGTCAATTAGCAAAACACATCTGTAGACACAGAGGACACAGGCTACAACATTTTTTAAGTTTAGACAACCTGCACATATCTGACAAGGAACAGAGTAATTCTCCTTATTGAAGACCATCTATCAGTCACTGCTATCTGTAAGACTCGGTGCCTCTCTGATGACATAATATTTTCCTCCTCCTTTAACAGTTCGTTCTTTCCCTAACAAATGGCAGCCACCACCTGAGAAGAGCCTGTACCTGCAGTCCCTTACACACTTCACTGTCAGCAGCTAGAAACACGTGTTTGACTCCTGTCAATAGAACTTGTGCAACACTGGAAAAAATTGTTCAAGAAATAGTAGAAAAATAAGCATCAATTACACTGCTGTGACTTCTTTGTCCCAGCCATCATTAAAAATTCTGACAAGTCAGCCAAGAAACCAAAACTCTTGATACACTTCGCCATAAAGCAAACAAAAAAACCCAAACAAAACAAATCTAAAAGCACCTTCTCATCTACTCTGCTTATACCCCAGGGGCTGCTCAGTCAGCTCTGCAGCCTGCTCAGGAAATGAGCATTTAGGTAACACAGGTTTTCCCAGAGGCAAGATTTTTTTTAAAGGAAAATAAAGCCCTTGGAGAATGCTTCCTTTAAGGAGCCTTCTCTGTTTTACAGTGCTGTGGTTTGAGTACAAAGCCTCCGTTGATCACAGAGGAGTTAGGAAGGCTGAAGAGAGGCAATCCTCCAAGCAGGCAGGTTTCAAGCATGTTTTTTTCCCCAATCAAGCTCTTTGCCACCAGGTAACCTTACCAGGCATCCTTCCACTGACTTTTCTGCTGAACAGTATGACTGTGCATGGTAAGGAATTGACATTGTGGGCAGGAAATGATAAATTAGAAGTAATTGCTGAAGCTGTCATTCATGAATTGTAAGCCATTATCTCTTAACACATCTGGAATCCCAGAGCGAGCAACCTGTGATCCACAAAGCAGCATTAGGCTCCTGTGCCTCAGGAACTGTGCAACAGTTCAGTAATGAGTGCACAGTGGTCTATGAACAAAGGGGAGAACGTACCATTTAATTGGAACAGATCCATGCCACCTCCAGATGAAGGGCAAGCAGACCTATCACTGGATCTCTCAGTATCCTTTTCTTGCTTATTGTTTTTCCCCTTTCTACTGCCCATTACTTTTGGGTATCCACCTTCAAATATTACTCCTATTCCCATCTGGGCAGGTTGGTTTACCTTTGTACAGCTCTACCTAATGAAGAGAATCAATGTAAACTACCCCTGGCGTTTCTGATTTGTAGTTATTATTAGCATTTCCTCTCTTTCAGATCCTCTGAACAGATATAGTCAAGTGTAAAAATTTCAGAAACAAAGTCTTTATGCTTAGAGGAGTGTGAGCTATTTTGGTTGACCATTCATTTCCAGAAACTGCATCAAACACTATTAAAGAAGAATCATCCTCTTTCTTGTTGAAGTGTATTTATAAAAAACCAAACTCTTAATTTGTCATCAGGTTACACAAGTTCTAAGATTCTGTATTTTTTCTTTCAGTCTTTATCAGAACTCCTAAATCACATCTCAATTAAGTCTTGTCAGAATTCTGATTCTGAACTTGTGATCATACACTGCATTTATTTCATATGCCTCCTGCTCATTTCATCCAGCTGAAAGAATACCCAACTGAACAAGTTAGCTCACATATCAATTTCTTTATATACACATATTCAAAGCATGTGAGCAATTCAACAACCTTCAGGGACACAGAGGTAATGTCCATTTTCCACATGATATGTGGAAATATCATGACAGCCAGGTTACACAGGTACTGATGCTGGTGGCTACTGCCATGTTTATCATGCTTATCCTCTTAATTAGATTTCAATGAGTTTTTTTGCTCAAAAGAAACAAACTTCACTAGGAATTTGGTGAGTTACAGCACATGCCAGTTTTGAAATGTGCAACTATAGTTTGATGCAAGAATGATTGACTATTCTACATAACACAGGCAATAACAGATACTCTTAACCTTGTCCAGGGTGCTCCTTTACAGACTCTGCTGTCATTTGCTTTTTAACCACGCTTTTCATTTCAAAGTCTGCTTTAAGCTGACAAAATTCTAAAGTTCCAGCTGAACCCAGAGTTAAACTGGATGCTAGAATGGACTGCAAATCCCACTGATATTCCCTTTGTGCATTCTCAAGGTCTGAGAACAACAAGCATGTAGGAATTAGACTTAAGATGTTTTAGTGTCCAAGTATAATGGACACTTCTGACAACTTTTGGTCTTACTATTCTGACATGGGAGAAAAAATAACTGATATTAACATTTGTGAAAAAAAAAAAAAAAGACACTACAGAGACAAGGGTCATAGAAAACCCCATATAAGTAATTAGTATTTTTACATTCAGTGGAAGTTTTCTATCATATGCCACGGAAAAAATGAGGCTTTGTGTTACAATATGAACAAGGAGTATAGAATTAAATATTGAACAACTGCTCATTCCACAAATATCTTCCACCCAGTGTAACATGATAGAGGAGTCATGCAGGAAGAATAGTTTGCAATCATGCAACTAAATCCCTTATTTTAAAGCACATGCAAAATGGCTCATGCAGCCTTATGATTTCTTAACTTCTGACTGCTTAGCCTTTATATGCTTATTAACGTTGAGAATTTTTTTATTCCTGTAATTTCTAGTAGACACCACACGGGGAGAACTTCCTCCATCACCCAGGCAAAGGGCACGGGACAAAAGGACCATATAGTATTCTCAAAGCTCATTTGTATGGGGCTGGAATTTCTTACAGCCTGGGATGCCATTTTTCCCACTTTATGTTCACAAACTCCCTCCTCGATATGCAGTAGCGTATGTTTGCGGTAGTGAGGGACAGCTGCTCAATCTCAACAAAGATCAATGTGACTCCAGGGAGCACTGTAGCATCTTTTCTCTGATATTAGACTTCACTATCCTGAGGCTGTTCCTATGTGGCAGCTTATCAGGTTGCCAGTCTGTCTTTAAGATAGCTCTCTTTATCTTATTTTTTAAAATAAGAATGTATATTTAAAAGACATACCTGTCCAATAATAAGAGGGACTACAACAGTCATAAACAGCTGCGAGAATATAGATGTAAAAGGCACAGAGGAGGATGATCCAAGCTGAAAAACAAAAATATACCATTAACATTGTACTTTTTCTTAGTATCTGCAAATTTCATACACAGACATCACACTTGGTATGCATTTTATTTTACACATGAAAACTTGGAAGTATGTGCCCTAACTTGGAAGTAGGTGCACACGTGTTTAATGGTTAAGTCACAATAAAGCATTTGGCATCACACAAGAACAAAACTAAACCAATCTCTGATTGATTATTTTATAACCTAAGGTAATATTTCCATCAATATTCATTTAATGGAAAACCTGCTACACATATATGCCAAGTAAATTATATAAGCATTTGTAGGATGATAGTCTAAAGAGACAGAGAGTGAATCTTCCTAAGTAAATAGTTAGCTCAACTTACTTAACCATTTAAACATGAAGTAACAAAAATCAGTGTAGTTATTTCAATAAATAAATGAAAAAAATAAAATAGTGAAGACATTCACGTTTTATTTCAAAGCTGTTAAAAAAGAGATCTACTGAAAGTATATCACTATTCTTTAAGACAACTGAACTGCGACAGGCTTAGTCTTCAAATAGGTGATTTCTTTTAATTATGACTGTAAATGCTAAAAGTATTTCTTTTAAGATGCAGGTAGAAAATGTGAACAACCAGTCAGTGGGATTTTTGCAACCTACTTTAGAATGCTTAGGAAAATATCAGGGTTTTTTTACATTCTGATTGGACTTGCTTTAGGTTAGGTCAATGAAAAGCTCCATTTAATGTAAGTTAACATCTCTTTAACAGCAATAGAATATGCATTAAGAATATATATTAAGAAGACTGAATAGCATTGTCAGAGCTTCCATAGACAACCATTTGCTTCATGAAGAGGTATATGACACACCATTGAGGATTTCACAGATCCACATTATTTTTTACTTCACTTCAAAGATCCTCAGAATGATGACAGAATTCAGAATCGTTTCAGCTCCATCTAAATGGTGTTGATTTCCTAAATATCCTGATTTTTCACATACATCATTCTTATAAATTAGACTCTCATTACATTATACTTTTGACACTTATCTTCCTTTCAAAGCCACCTGCAGGCATGACAGACAAGGTGATCATGCAATCTAGTAGCTTTCTATAACTCTGCCCTGAAAAATCAACATATGGCCATAAAAGTGGGTTTGGCATAAAACGAGTTTCTTCATAAATTCAAAAAACAGAATATCAGAGATTTCATATACTGAAGTACGCAGAAATATACAAGTGCAACCTTTACCTACAGAAAACAATCTGATGAGAAAACACTAATTATACATACCACTTTTGGAGCAGTCTACTTGTATAAGCACTGCTTTTCTGTACATGCACTGCTTGGGAAATCGGTGAACACGTCTTTCTGAATAGACTCTAGTTAAAGAGTCTTGGAAGAAGGAATGTACAGGATATGGTTGTTTCCTATGTATTACCTTAACTGGCAACATCTCAGTCTGGACACTTAATAAATTAGAGCATCTCGACACCATCACCTTCAATTTTAACAATATGGGCACAGAAGACAATTGGAAGGGACCTGAACGTGAGGTCACAGCTGAGTATTTTGGTCTGCAAGTAAGGTGCAAGTGAGAGCACTGAGATTAAGGAGCCTGAATTTCCCATGGAGTCAAGAAGGAGAAGTAAAAAGCTTGCAGGGTAACACTCAAGTCACCCACATGAGTACTCAAAGTCAGGCAGTGAAGCTACATTCTCCAGGGACACGGGGTTCTCTGCGTGATTCCTTGCAGAAAACACAGAACTCCATCATAACACTCATGATCTCCTTGTTTTGATTCTTGTAAGGAGCTTCTGAAATTTTAAAAGATTCATATTTTTTCAAATTGTATTTGGATTTATTTTTTGTTATGTGCTGAGGAGCTAAAAGCATTACTTACTATGTATTCAAGGAAGTCTCTTCAAGTGAAAGTGAAGACTTTTAAACTTTAAAATCTGCCTGGGCCACAGAGGAATGAATCTAACCAAGCAGTCTGCATGCCAGCATGCTCTGCATAGCTTCACAAAACTATGACACTTTGGCAGTGGTTCCTGTGCAGTTTTATAAAAACATTGATTGGACTTTGCTCACTACTTTTAAGTTTTATGCTCAGTGGATGCATAATCAGCTTCTAAGTTAGGAATGAAAAACTGTTCAACAACATAACACACTGCTGAAAAAGGCATAGTCTTGCCAGCTTTTTAAAATATTACTTCAAGTGTAGTGTCTTCAAACTGTTGTGGATTTTTAAGCACTTGTTGTATACATAAGGATATGTTCTGTTTTGGGTGGTTGGGTTTTTTGGGTTTTGTTTTGTTGTGATTTTTACATAATTAGAAACTGAATTAGAGGTACTGTTTTTGGGATACTAAACCAATTTACCTCAGAAATGTAAAATTATTTTATTTAAAAAAACACTTCTCTATATCAGGATATCAGCCTATGGTTCTTCACCCTGTTAACTCCACCTTACCCGCTCAGTGTTACCTGGGCCACGAAAAGGCAGACATTTCAGGTAACTCTCTCACCCTGATTACATTTTAAATGAAACAGAAATCCACATATCAGTCCAAAATGTCACAATTAATAACTAAAAAAGAAAATGATTCAACTTTCCTTTTGCCCAGAGGAAATGAGTTCTTCAACTACATCTGGTTTGTAGGGAAAAACCCTCTCCTTTTTGTAAAAAAAGACAAGTTTTTCTGCTTATAATACGAATCCTCCCATGCACGATTCTATGACCATCTGTGTATTTTTGACCCTCTTTCAGTTGATACTTGAGAATCATATTCTTCTGCCAGTCTCCAGCACCTCCCATTACTTCGTATAGAATAGCATGGATCTTTGTACAGCATAGTTTTTTTTCTGGGGTCCTTAGGAGGTCCTGACACTCTGCTATAACTCACTTGGACACAGAGGTTTGGGGCATAGTGTTTGCTCTGCCCTCCCTTCATGCACTGCAGTGTGTTAGACTTCCTTATCCCACCTGTGGCACTGAGATTACTTCTTCAAACAGACTTCTCAGCTTGGTTTCCCTGCTGTGTATTTTGACAATAACTTCAGTGGACTGGTTTTCATTAGAATCTATCTGTCAGATAATGTCTATCAAGTCTTGTATCATCTTAACCCTAATCTATTCCCTGGGAAAGACACAGAAGATAAGATAAAGGCTGAAGAAAAGGCAGGAGCTTCTCTATCACACAGAAGAACAAAACTTTTTAACCCAGACTCTGGAGACAGAGTAGCCAATGATGAAAAATCAAAAGGCTAAAGGACGCACAGCTAATGGAAGCATAATTTGATCAGGATCTTCTCAGCATCTGTAGCATGTGAAATCATCAGTCTCACAACCCTAAGCTGTCCCATGGACTCTCAGGCATTGCCTGTCCAAATGAACGAAAATGATTTTCACAGAATCACAGAATATGATGAGTTGGAAGGGACCCATCGGGATCACTGAGTTCAACTCCTGGTACTGCACAGGACCATCGCCAAGAATCACACCATGTACCTAAAAACATTGCACAAATGCTTCTCAAACTCAGACAGGCTTGGTGCTGTGACCACTTCCCTGGGGAGCCTGTTCCAGTGCTCAGGTTTTAATTGGATCAAACTAAGTTTGTGCTCCATTTGCTGTCATGAAACAATTTTTTTTTTAAAAGAATGCCACCTAAATCTGCACTGCACTAAAATTAGCACTGTGTTAAAATGGTTGATTATATTTGGCTGCCATCCTTGTTATAATAATATCCAGGCCTAAAAATGAACCTTTTTTCATTGGCAAACAGAAGTACTATAAGAACTGGGGTAAAAACATCATAGAATCAAACTGCTGATTTATAGCTGAAAAAAACCAAACACCTGATTGGGATGACTTATGGAAGATAAAATGCACCATTTAATTAAACAGGAATCACACGAATTTTCATGCTGCCTCCATATTGTCTATGCTTACTTTAAAACATTTTTTAAAAAGAAGTTTGATATTGTGAAGAGATTCTTATGTGCTGTTCTGGATAGCAGCATTTCAGTAAAAGGTTTATTAATAAGCCAACCCTGCTTTAATAGACTCACTATTGAAAAAAAGACCCTGAAAATTCTTGCTTGGGGAAAGGCGCTTTACACTTAAATAATCAGAGTGATATCAACAGGACAACTCAGAAAGCAGAAAGAGAATTCCAGGCAAATCTTCCCAAACAATTCTGTCACCACGCAGTACTTCAAACCTGACCTGCAGCATTCTTGCTAATTTAGTCCTAGACCTTTCTTCTCGAGAGAAAAAAAACCCTGACAAATTATTTAGTGGGTTTCTTTATGAGTTTGTGGCAGAAACATTGGCTTGTCCTTAATTGAAAGGCTATATTTAACTGGATATGGTAAAAAACAAAGGGCAAAAACCAATCTTCCTTGCATAAAAATGAGACAATTCCATCTCCCAAGCCTAGATTGCCTCCACAAGCCAGATGTTCCATTCTTATGTTTCTGGCAGACCAGGCAGGTATCACATAGAGTGTTCCTGTGTCTACGCTGCCACTGACTCAGAAGAAACACACGTCCTATCAGTCACACCAAATTACAGCCCAGTGACACGCTGAGTCCACTTTGGAGGCAGTTGTCCTTTGGGGGTGGCTTTTACTCTTCCAGTGTTCTCCTGCAATTAACAGGCTTCCTCAGGCTGTGTCTTTGTGCTCTTCACACACCATCAGCCAGGTTCAGACTCCTCTGCTGCTGAGCACCGAGGAGGAAGTGAGGCAGGGGTGAAAACAGGGCAGAACCAGTGGGGAGGGGCACTGGCTCCTCTCTGACGGGAGGTATTCACCTTAAGCTTTTCTTTTCCACCTTCAGGTCTGGCTACTCTGACAACCATCTTGAAAGTTGGCGTTCAGTTCTGTATTGTCACTGCTTCTGGTTACTCTCACCCAGTCCAGATCCAGCTGCCTTGTGCCTTCACAACAAACAAGAGTGACCAGCTGAACTATGACCTCCCTTGCTTTGGACTCTTTGCCA